GGTGTTTATAGTTGAGCTAACGAGCTCTGTAGAGATCAAAGGCTTCACTTCATTTTTCAAGCTACGAGATGTTTTCCTACGTTTGTCATTATAAATGATGTCTCTCAGGAATGTAGGGTTTGGGAATTATGGCAGTTTAAAAAAAAAATAAGAATGCAAATTTCAAGCTGTCCTCCACTCTAGCTGTGACATCACACACTCTAGTTAATGTTAAAATGTGAAGAAAAACTCTAAAACAAGGTCTGAACAATGTTTAATATCTCTAAAAGTAAGAATCAGATTTAAAAGTTGTTTTACACGAATAATGTCAGAAAGATGTGTAACATTTTAAAGTTGGAATGAGGTGTCTGAGTGAAAGTATGAATGAACAGTTAGCAGTTGAATTGCATGAAGATTTGTTGAAGTCGAAGAATTTCTCCATTGACTTCAATGTTAAAAATGTGATGTATTATGGGATGTATCTCTGGAATTATGAAAGTTATGAATGAGAAAAGTAATAGCCATTGATTCCCGACCGAGCTGAACGTTTTGATGTTTGAACGGAGTTTCTGCGATGTTCAATGCGGGAGGAAAAGACCGGCAAAATAAGTCGGCGGAATAATAAACTTTTTGTGCGTAGAATAACAGATAGTGGGAACGCTGTTAACATCCTGTTAACAGCGTTCCCACTAAATAATCTAAATGCTCTTACATCGTTCCCGTAAGCGTCTGCCGGCAGAGACAGAGCGTGAGCGGCAGTCGAGGCGCCCTGCAGACCCTGCAGACCCTGCAACACAACAACAACACATTTAATACAAATAAAAACAACAAAATTTCAGTTATTTACAAAATCAGCAAAAATTAATTAAGTTTTATACATTTTAAAGCTAAAAAAATGAATAATACATTTTCTATTGTTGCAAAAAATCAAAACGCCACTTTAACATTATTATATACATGTATGTTTCCTTACGGGGGAAATTAAGATACATAAATACATCCATTTATTTATTGTTTTGTTTTTTCAAACCTGGTTATTATTTTGACATGTTTGTGTTATATGCAATATTTTTGAAGCATGTTGTAATCTATAGTTAGGGTTAATTATATTTCAATTCATTCTTATACTTTTGCTTTTTGGGAAGAATGTGATTGTCTGTGTTTATTTCCTTAACTATTAATTGTCTGAATCAACAGAAGAATATATTTCTTTGTTACACACTACCTGATTTAAATGATCATATTTATAATTCTTGGAAAACTCTTTATTACATAACAAACTCCTGAAAACATCTCCATGTCTGTGTGCTTTACACAATGGATGCTTAAACATGCTCCACATGTATATTAATAATTAATTTGTTTGCCCTATTTGGTTTCCTTTGTGTTTGTTGGTACGACATTCCCTTTGTAATCATTATTCTTTTACAAATTCCAATTAAAGGTTATATTTAAAAAAACAACACCATCGGGTACAGCTGTGTCGGTGTCACACTCAAATGTGTCCGCTGATAGAAACCATGTATGAATACGCTAGGATATCAGAAACACAATTGAATGTACAGGATTTAGGATCTGAATAAAACCCTAATAAAGAAATCCTGATGTCCTGACAACATGAGAGACTCACTAATTTCTGGTTTTATAAAATAAAAGCGTGTTTTTCTACAGAAACGTTTAAACACGTGTTTTATTCTTGGCTAGCTTTAGCACAATATCTATTTGTACTGCTTCGGTAAACCCTTTAATTTGTATTTATCAAACCCTCAGACTCGTTGTAGACTCTTAAGACACAGATTACTCATTCAATGTAAAATAGACAGTTATTAATAACGTTTACATTCAAAATAAGATTCTTACCAAAGAGCCCAAAGCATCATCAGTCGCCATTTCTCTCTCAGACGAAGATCAAATACAATTTGAGATGATTCACTACAACAATGGGCTTTACATCTGCGCATGCGCTCAGTCGTTGTATTTTGGTCCCATGAAGACGAGTTATACTGCCGTTGTATCCAAGTATTTAACACATAACAGTTGTACATCGTTCTCTCTTTATTTAAACATATATTTTTTATCAGATAATGCCAACATTTGAATGAAAAATGTGGTGAAAATATGGATACGTTTGTGCTACATGCATGAAACACTGATATTAGCATGTATAAAAGGCTGCTAAGTGGTACATTCTTACACTATCTCACAATAACGTCAATAATATTTATTTTTACTAACCGTAGTTTTAATTTGTGTATTTTTTACGAAATTCTAAGCAATAAACAACCGTTATTATTCCGTTTATGGATCCTGACTGTACCATTTTAAGTCAGAACAAGAGGGAACCATCTTGACATGTTTTACTCTCTGTACTGAACTTTCACCAGAGATGACGTCACGTGTCTTAAAGGGCCAGTGTCAGGCTGTCAGAAGGTTACCGATCTTTTCATTGGATTTGTCAAAAATTCACATAAAAGCAAAATTACTAGTGGATAAAAAAGACAGTAAAATTATTTTGTATTTAATATTCTATTTCTGTTTGTTTTAGACATAAATCTTATCTCAATAATGTATTATACCGCGGATTCAACTACAATCAGATATCTGTGGTTATACCGCCATTTTGTGGAGGAAAGCCGAATTACACTTTCTGGATTTTCTTCACATTTACTCTTTTTTTGTTAATATATATTTGTATTTAAATCAAAACTACTCAAATTTAAATTATGTTTAATGGATTCATTATTTAAATAAAAACACAATTATCATTGGTTATCTTTATAAGATATAATAATAATAATAATAATAATAATAATAATAATAATAAGGATATTAACAATAATAACAAAACTAAAATAATAATTATATCTGCAGGATCATATTTCCTACAGATCGATTTTCTATAAGGTCATAATAAC